AGCGTTTAGATCAGGTGAACCAGCATCATGGCTGTGAACCGTCTGGCTGCAGACGGGAACACGTGTGAAACAGATCCAGCATGACGCTCCAACAGAGGGGAAAGATGTCGATTTCGGAGAGGTGTTGAGAAACAGGCGACCGCCTCCTGCTCGTCCCCAAACGGCTGATGGTGAAGACGATAAGTGACAAACAGAAGAGACCAGACAGAGCTCCCTCCACTCTGATAAGTGTGTGAAGCCTCTGATGTTCATGTGTTCATCACCTGAAGGTCGTTCTGAATAATTGTTCAAAAGCACTAATCTGTTTTTTTTTTCACCCAATGTTTTGTTTGAATTTTTGCACTAAAATGTGTAACAAATGCTCGCTCACACACACACACACACGCACACGCACACACACACACACACACACACACACACACACACACACACACACACACACAGTTGATCCAACGTGCAGAGCTGGCCATAGAAGGAGGGTTTGTGTTGGATTGGATGGAAGGAGATGAAGGGGAGTGAGGTCAGTCAGAACACACACTCACACACACAAGAGGCTGACGTGTTACCATAGAAACGGCCGAGCTGGTCAGCGTAAAAGCAGGAAGAACGCTGGTGGACTGTTAATGTGAAGGCCAGACTGGAGGAGGAGCTAGGGATGTGTGTTATTAACCTCTGACCTCTTCAATCCTGCCTGCTAAGCACCTATACTTGAGTGATATTTGACCTCTGACCCCTCCAGCACATTGGGCACCTGCTCAAGGATGTTTATCTGTTTAAGGCTGAGTTTATGGTCTACACAGTGTGTGTGTGTATGTGTGTGTGTGTGTGTTCAGGTGACACAGCAGCAGGTGAAGGTTCAAAGTAACTGATAGAATGATTTGAATTTTTATGGAGAGAAAACATATTTAAATCCTGTAAATGGGCCTGTTTTATTCAGAATCATTTGTTATATTGAGTTTAAACTTCAGACTGTTTGATGATTCAAATGATTTATTTTCTGCTCATTAGTTGGATTTGAACTACCAAGATGAACTATCAAAGGAATCCTGTTGAAGTAAAATACATTTTAAAAGAGCTGAGGTAAAAAGTTTTTTTTGCAGGTTATTTGATCCCAAATCTGTGATGAGTTTCCAAAAATTCTAATGATAAACAATGTATCATAAAAGTATGTAAAACCTGAACATCTGCTCACACCAGGTGTTTTAAAATAATGGTTTAGGTATTTTAAATATTGATTTCTGTAGAAAGGTTTTAAACACAATTTTACCTTGATGTGGAAAAGAATTCTGACCAGACTGAAGAGCTAACAGCTAGTCTGATTACTATTGCGACCTGAATCTAGGGGCAAGTGATCACATTTGATCATGTGTGCAAACTTTAAATCCTTGATTGCAGTCAAAAACCTCTTTAAAAATGTAAAACTGTATAAATGCTAGGGCTGTAGCGAAGCCTCGACGAAGTCGACGGCTCGATTCTAAAAATTTGTCGACGTCAGATCCGGAAGTCGACGCACCGCGCCCACTTGTTGCATCCCCAGGAGTTTGTAAATAGAGGAGGAATCTGCCCGTTTTTCCTCTAGTTCGCCCTCTTCTCCGCCTTCACTAACATCTCCGCCAAATACCGAAGACCCGGAACAATGTCCGTCCACTACTAGATTCCTTTCCTGTTTTGCCCGCCTTCGTCTCCCGGCAACGGACAACAACTTCCGGGGTCAGATGCGCTGCTTCGTGTCTATCGCAGATGTAGAAAATCACCGGGAGCATTTCTCCCTTCATAAAGGAGCTTCTTTCAGACATGAGGAGAGCTGTTTTGGTGGTAGCAGTCTCTCCTCCGTGCTGGTCTGTTTGCTGCTGGGTGTTTTTCGTTTATTTAAACTTGGTAACTTGAACTTAACGTTGGTAAAGCTACTGTTAGCATCTTCGCTAACAGCTTCTTGCGTTGGGATAAGCTGTTACGTTTTGGTTTAGAGTTCATCTTTTTTGTGGTGTAGATCTCCCTTTTATTACATTTAGAGTGTTGTGGGTTTTCGGTTTAGTGTAAAATATCACCTGAGTTTGGTTTAACCCGTAACACCACTCGCCTCACGCACATAAGTGACCAAAACAAAGCAGCGTGGAGACACTCCATCTTCTACCACCTCTCAGGCAGCAGCCTGCACTCCCAAGTTCTACACGTCACCAGAACATAACCAACCGCAACACAATAAAAGCAGTGTTAAACAAAATGGAAGGCCTGTAGTGTTTATTCTCTTACAGTAAGAATTTATCAATTTTTTTGAGGAATTTATTTGAGATTTTCTGGTTTTTGTTAATTGTGCAATAGAAAAATAATCATTAGATTAGTTTTCTAAATAGTCATTAGAATAGTCGACTATTCGATAAAATAATCGTCAGAATAATCGTTTTAAAAATAATCGTTTACCCCCAGCCCTAATAAATGCTAAATTGAACATTAAAATTTTCAAGTCTTTTAGTGAGTGTCCTTTGATTGAGAACTTCATTAAGTTTATGAAACTGTTTTATAGACTTTTCCACAAAACATCTTTTTAGAATAGTACTGATTTTAGCAGCTGACTTTAGCATCAAAGCTAATTACTGCAGAACAATAGTGTTCCAGTATAACATGTAATAAATATGTTTTTAAATTTGTTTCTACCTTGTGTCATCTGCCTTTGAAACTATTTTAGCATTGTTTTACTATTTTATTTTTTTTCCACTCATGTTTTATTAAATTGTATCTGAAAGGAAACAGATATTAGAATAGTAAAAATAAAAGTTATTTTCTTGAACCAAAAAACAACAAAATACTCCTAAATTTAAGAATGTTATAGTAAACTTTAAATTGAATGACTTTGCCGTTTGCTTTAATTTCTAAAATCACAGTCTTAAACATTAACAGTATGTCTTTTATTCTCTGAGCCAAACTCTATACAACTGAACCAACATCCATCTTCATTGTTTCCAGCATGAATCAACACAAAGAAACTGGATTCCTTCTTTTCAATTGATGTTTTTACCTAACTTAGTACAAAATAAGAGCAAACATATCTCAAAAAATATATTTTCTCTCCATGTGTGAAGGATGGGAGTGGGGATGGATTCATCTACCTCTCCATCTAACATTCCCACTTTATCTAGCCCACATTAAACCCAAGTGAATGCACAGAGAGCGCCACTTGAACATTTTAGCAAGACATTTATTGAAATAAATTCTGCCTTTAACCGTAAAAAACATCAAAGAATAACTGTACAAACATTTCCTCAAATAGGATGAGGACACAACCCGAACCTGGATCTGAGTTGCTTTAAATCCGCCTGCAGGTTCATGTGGTTATGCAATAAATGAACCCAGCAGGAGCTGAACTCTGCCAGACCGGCCCAACGTCCACTTCGTGTATGCTATGAGATGGTGATGGTGATGAAAACACAGATGTGTGTGTGTGTGTGTGTGTGTGTGTGTGTGTGTGTGTGTGTGTGTGTGTGTGTGTGTGTGTGTGTGTGTGTGTGTGTGTGTGTGTGTGTGTGTGTGTGTGTGTGTGTGTGTGTCTTTGGTTCAGGTTGTCAGTCCCCACACACAACACACAGTAATGTTGCAACATAAATAGATGAAAATGCACAAACAAAACAAAATATTTGACACATCTTTAACAGAAATTTACAGTCTGAACATCGCTACAACACCTTGAACGTGATTGTCTCCATGGTTATTTCCACAGTGCATTTCCAAAGTCCATAAAAGTGAAGCCACATAACAACAGTCTGTCACAATCACACACGTAATGGCCCCTTCTCACCCCAACCCCCAATACAAAAGAACAAGGCACTCTTGAGTAAAAAGGCGAAAACGGGCGCCCGGAAAATTACTTGTCATTAATCTGTGCAAACAATTGACTTTTTAGCCCTAGTGATTGGGAAGCCAGCAAAATTAAAAGTCCTATTTCAGCTGAGCTGACAGGAAGTGAGGAGTATTTAGTCTGAGTGTACCTTTTCCTTCATGGAGTGGGTGCTTTTATACCACCCCATTCCCTCATTCCCTCATCCTTCTTCCTTTTCTTCTCTTTTTCAATGCCCGGCTCCCTGACTGAGCTGAAATTACCTTAAATTGGTTTGAACCGGACTGAAACACTCTAAAGTGGTGCTCAGCCAGTGTAGTTCATGGCCAAAGTAAGCTGCGAAACAATAAAAAAAGGAGGTACAAAAAACTCAGGAATTCACAGTCACTCTTTGTCACACTTCGACAAGCTGATCTGGCCATAAAAAGCAGCTTTAGTCTGATTCAGCTCTCCAGAAAGAAAAAAATAATAAAAAAAAGGACCACAATAAGACTTAATGGGGATGTCAACATGAAGCTTTCAGTAGCCACAGAAAGAAAACACACGTAAAAAAAAAAAAACAGCAAACCTCCTTCATTTAACCTTTCATGAAAAGGTAAAACTAAACAAAAATAAAATAATTTAAAACATAAAGAAGCCAAGGATGGACCTACATGGGTTTTCCAATTTTAGCAGTTGAATAAATTGAATTAATTCTTGGAAAACAATTTAGAAAAGTTGTTCTACTTCATACTCTGTAGTTTACTCTGTAGTTTAACATATATGTAATTAAATACCACATAAACAAAACATCTGAACATGTTTGGAAAACATAAATATCACAAAGCAACTAAAAATCATCCATAAAGTCACTCTTGTAAACTGACAAATATTGTTAAGCCCATATTTGGTCCATCCTTAATGTCATCCTTCATTTTCTGCGGATTTTGTTGTGTCCATTTTCATGTGAAAACCAAAGGCTGAATAGAACAGACTGTGAACAGAACCAAACTTAAAGAAAAAAAACAAAACAAAGATATTTGGAAGTGGGTGCTGTGCAAGGGAATCAGTGCGGCTTTGGTGGAAGAAAATTGGCAATGTCAAGTATGGTCCAGCGTGACTACCACACCCGGTTGGTCCAGTAGATGTTCTCTCTGGGATACATTGCCGTGTTTGCGTAGTCTCCTACCTGTTTGTTGTTGTATTTGGGTGGATTGGCCTTGTAGCTGTAATCCGAATATTGGTCGGAACCAGTGGAATTGTTGTCGCCAGTTCCTACAAAGGTGTTGGTGGCAGGGAGGTCTTGAACAGCCTGGTGCTTCTTGGAGGCAGAGGGTGACTGGGGCTGCAGTTGGATAGATGGCAGGGGAGAGTTGGACCGATAGTGTCTGCCCAGATCAGGGCTTCCTGGGGGGTAATTAAGAGGCAGGTGGATTCTGGGACTGTCATTGACATCATTAATGAGGTTGAATTTGAGGCCTTTTTGAAGGCTGGCCTCCTCATCCTCCTCCAGTGGTTTGGTGGGTTTTGGAGCTTTGTTTTTCTTGCCTTTTTTCACTTTGCCATTTTTTGGGCCCTGCTTAGGAGCGTACAAATCCTTGCTCTCCTTCTTGCCAGCTTGGTAACCACTCTTGGTATCCTTCTGCAGCCAGTGTCGGATAACCACTACAGCTACAATGACCAGAATAACACCAGCAGCACCTGCAAGGACGGCATACCAAACATTGCTGCGGGAACTGTAGGAGTAGTTGGGATCTCCTGCAATGTCTCTGTCTAGAGGTGTGTAGAGACTGTGACCAACCAGTGCCTCGATAAGGGAGGTGTTAGAATTGGTGTCATTAATAAATACATGGACCAGAGCAGTGGTGTGGAGAGGAGGTTTGCCTCGGTCACTGACCTTCACCACCAATCGATGTAGTCCATTGTGCTTTCCAGTGAATTCCTGTGCCAGCGTTATCTCCCCACTGCTCTGTGAAATTTGGAACAGGCCATAGGGGTTTCCACCTGTGATGGAATACTGCAGCTCAGCATTGGGTCCAGCATCCATGTCCTCGGCTTCAACAACTGCGATGCTAGTGTCTGGTGGTGTGACAGGTGACAGGTATTTGTAGGATGAGTTAGCAGGTTTTGTGATGTAGGGGGCATTGTCATTCTCATCCAGGACATTGATGGTCACGCCAACATATGAGGAACGAGGTGGATCACCACTGTCCACCGCCTTTAGACGGAAGGTGTAGGTGCTCTCCTTCTCTCGGTCAAACGAGATGCTTGACAAGATGGTTCCAGTGCCATCTTGGATGCGAAAATTTCCATTGTCTGGTTCTACAGAAATTTTAACTTTGGAATTCTCCCCCTTGTCTGCATCAGTGACAGTCACTACTCCAACTGGATTTCCTGGAGTCATGTTCTCGATGACGGAGAAGCTGTAGCCATTTAGAGTGAATTTTGGGTCGTTGTCATTTCGGTCTAGAACATTTACCACCACTGTAGCAGTTCCAGTTTTACTTGGGATACCTTTGTCTGCAGCTGCCACACGGAACTCAAAACGCTCTGTCTCCTCTCGATCCAACATGTTTTTTACACGAACTTCCCCGGTTTTGGCATCAACCTCAAACAGTCTGGTAGCTGAGGGCTCAATGATGCTATAGACCAGCTCTGCATTACTACCACTGTCTGCATCTGAGGCCATGACATCAAGAACTTTGTCGCCTGGCTGGTTGCCCTCTGGAAAGTCTACTTCAAGCAGTGCAGGAGAAAAATTCGGTGTGTTGTCATTCATGTCTGTGACCTGAACTTTAAGGGAGTTGGTGCTGGACAGCGCTGGATTTCCAGAATCCACAGCAACTATTTCAATCCTGTAATCTTTAATACGTTCATAATCTAGCAGAGTTGTTGTCTGCAGGAAGTATTTTCTTCTCCGATCATTATTTGAGTCACTTACAGGTCGAAGCTGAAATGGGACATCTCCAGCAACCACACAGGTCACAACAGCATTTTCCCCCTCATCACGATCTGACACTTGGACCAGTGCTACTGGTGTACCAACGGGCATATCCTCAGATATGTTGGCCACACCATCTTGAAGGACTACCAAACCAATGCTGCGGATCTCGACAGATGGTGCATTGTCATTCAGGTCCTTGACACTGACAATCACAGGAACCTTGGTACTCTTTGGATTTGGACCACGATCTCTGGCAACTACAAAGAACCTGAGGACACTGATATCCTCTCTGTCCACCAAGCCTTTGACGTGAATGGTGCCTGTAGTACGGTTGATACGTAGGAGCCTCTGGACAGCTTCGGATGCCTGATGTATGCTGTATTCAATCTCTCCATTGATTCCGGTGTCAGCATCATTGGCTCTGACCTACAATGGTAGAAAAATATGGTCACGTCAACAACCATCAACAACTTAACATTGTTCAACAGGAACAAAACCACTTTTTAAATGTGTGAAATTACAGGAAACACTTCCAGCTGGAATTATTTGTTTTCAAGAATTGCACTTCATGCATTTTGGACATATAAATACAAAGGAGAAGGTAAAATTGGAATTCATTTGAGTAACTCTGAGTACCTTTAAGTTGGACTTTGGAAACCTGAGCATTGCCCCTTGTTATTACAAGCTCGGTTACATTTCCATGATAATTTAGCTTCTTAACAGACAGTGACAACCATTAGAAATGCAACACCGCAAAGCCGTGTATGTTTTCCAGAGGGGGCGGTGGCTTATACTGTGTGTGAACCATAATAGACTATCAAATCAGAGTGCACACCCCCGCACAACAACATCTAACGGCCATGCAGCGGATCATTGGCATCTAATGGGCAGATGAGTGAATGTTAATGTTCCTCTCATTATGAGAAAAGCCCAGGCTCCTCTGGGCCCATTATGAGACCAGAGAAGACAAACTAACATCAGCCACAATCCGGTTTCACATGTCCAAACCCAAAGTAAATGGAGGTAATTAGTCAATTAGGCCGTGAACAGTCAGCACAACATCACTTAGGTTGTTAGTATGCCTTCTCTGTCTGCCTGACCAATGCTTTTTTTATTGTACTCATTCAAACATTGTGGCTTTCATTAAATATGTAAGCTGTTGTAAAACAAAAAAAAAAAAGCTTGACAGCTTTTATAAATATCTCAGGTGCTGCTGGTTCAGCGTTTCTGCGGTCCTCACCTGGGACCTGCATTAATGTAATTAAGGTTTTTAAATCTTAAGGCCAATTATTCCTTTAAAGCACAGGTGAACCTATGCCAAGCTTGCACTCAGCAAAATAATCCCTTAAAAAGTCCTTAAAAAGGAGAAGAAATATGTCTTGGGGAATTTTTAGGCATGAACAATTAAACTTGTATGGCAAGGACACAAAAATCCAGATGATGTCATGCTCTCAGGGTTTGTCCATGTTTGTATGGTTTGGGGGGTTGCAACCTCTACAATGATTAATACAGCTCAAATTTTCCTTAGCTGTACAGAAATAAGTGGGTGTTTCACATATGCTATGTAAGTACAATTAGTCTAAAGATCAACTAGGAAGTAGCCCACATAATACAAAAAATGTAATAAGTTATATATTATTATGATTTATAATTTTTTTTAATGTTCCTAAACACCGGCTCAAATTCAGACAGCCAGATAATAAAAATCTGGTTCTGTCTGGTGAATATTAGACTGTGACAGACCACCACGAGCACCCAGTTCACTGTGCAAGTCACTGACCCAAGCCAGGGAGATTGAGGTTAAAGAAAGCATGAAATGAAAATTATAATTCTGCCTGCCCATTGATCTTCTTCACTCTGGTGTGGCTTTAAGCAGCAGATATCACCAAATAGCTTTGAATTATTGACAGCCTGTGAGAATTGTGTATTGACCAGTCAGGCCGCTAGAGCACAAGGGGGTTCTGATGAAGTCTGAGCTGCACTGGCTGCACTCCAACATTGCTGTTTCCAGACACAGTATAAACACCCTTTATCTGTGGGTTAATAACTATCCAGCAAGGCCGACTGATGTTCTGAATAAGCAGAACGACATTTACAGGTTTTAGGTGATTAATATTTAATTGTTAAATCATAAAAACAGACAAGTTTGTCTGCATCCAAACTGTACTTTAAAAGAAAACCCGCTTTCAGACACATGTAGAGATAATCCATCATAATTTCCACACAGTCTGGCATGATGTTGAGTAAAATACATTATAATTACATGAACAATCAGTGAGGACTTTTTAAAACCCTTTGGATCTCCTTTTTTAAATGAGTAATGAGCATCTTCTTAAAGATAAATCATTTTTAACCATCTTAAATTGTAATTTAGCTGTTGGATATTCAAATTTGTGCCAATATTCTCAACCAGGATTTACTTGTTAACATCAACATTTGCAGTTAAGATTCTGATTTCAGAGTGTTTGGGTCTGACTTCAACTAAACAGGCACATTTCAACACTTATGGTTATATTGTTTCATTTTCCAATTGGTTTAAGGTAGGGGGAGACTGATATATCGGTCAGCCGATATATCAGTCTTATAATAGCTGTTTGTTTACACATCAGCATTGGCCGATATTTGTTCTCAGTAAAGCCGATTAAAGTCAGGCACATCCTCGGGCAGCTAGGTGATGTTACAGAATTTGTATTTAAATGCATGTTAATGTTCACTGCATATAAATGCTCTAAATTACCTTTTGATAGATGTCTGACTTTAACACTGAACAGAGCACAAAGTTAAGACTTAGCATGAAAATAAGGTGGAAAATGTCTAGATATTGGCCATGAAAATCGGACCATATAAACTGCATTGGAACCACTCCACTCCGCACCTACACCCTTCCTAGCCTGCCTGTGTTCCGTTCCACACTGCCTTAGGAATGCGGACGTGATTGAACACATGGGTGGTCTCCAAAATTGGTGCAAAAAATCAATATTTGTGATGTCATGAGCGCATCTCCAAGCATGTGGGTGGGGCAAAAAAACACGGAGAAGTCTGCGGTGTCTCCATTACTAAACAAAAGCGGCCTGAGTGTGTTGGCCCTGTTTGGCTCCAGGTAGACCGCCTCGGGAAGAGGGCTGAAAAGACATCCGGTTGCACACATGAAAATCCAAGGCTACCTAAATGAGAACCTTCCGAACCCTGTCCAGGTGGAGTGGAGCCGATGCTAATGTGTAAGTGCCACATGTCTCCTACACATCTGCACCGTTATTGGCAACAGTAAAACCAATATCGGTCAACCTGTAGTTTAAAGTAAAGTCGTGTGTTTAGATAGCAACGTTCAAATTTAAATGCTATGACACAGAAATTTAAGCAAATTCCCTCCAATAGTCCTAATAAACCCTTTTAGATTATTGAATACTAATTTTCAAATAAGGTTTTAAAAAGCCACAAAATCAAACTCAAGATTTATTTCTAAGTATATTTTTGTAGGTATTGTTTAAGGTTTTTAAGTTTCTTTATTTCTGAAAATTGGATCATGTAATTAGAGAAAAAGATGAATACATTTAAAATTGTATAACACATAAAGAGACAAGCTCCACAACTTAGCTAATTAGCTAAAAAATGGTCAATCTGATATTCTAAAACTTTTATTTTTGGTCTGTGAATGCACCATCATTATGTGATGATGTTTCACACAAACAGCAGATCTTTCATGTGTAAAAATTAACTTCCAAAATCAGACCTTTTCAGTTAATCGATTAATAGACAGCTTTCTTAATCAGCCAATACGAGCTGAAGAAGCTGGATTGGCCCTAAATACAGATTAGGTGCATCTCTATGTTTAAATATGAATTTCAGGGAACATATTGGACTTTGAAGGTAAATCGATATTCAATTTTTTTTCCTAAAATGTAACAAGAACTATTTGAATAAAATATTTTAAATCTATTTTCACAGAAGTAGGATTCACATTAGCTGATGGAAGAGAACTGGATGAGATCGATTGGCGTGATCCTAATTCTGCCACGGAATAAAATAGGTTACAGAACACCACAACCAGTGGTTCACTCAGTATAAAGCATGAGTCAAAGCCCAGAGTCATACAAATGTCAGATCAGCTATTGGACAATTCAAGCAGGTCAGGGTCATTGGTAAGCGTCGTTCCGCTGCCTCAGCCGCATCATTTCTTAAACTAAGTGAAATAAATTCTGAAGCTCTCTGAAATGCAATGAGCCACATCCAGAGCAATAATACCAATAAGCCCCGTGGATAATCTCATGACTGACTCAGATTAAGTCATGCACATCAAGCTGGACGGGTGCTGGTCGCGCTGCAGTCACACCGAGGTAGGGAATAAGAAAAACTGAGGACATGATGAGCCATCAAGAAGTTGGAGCCATCCAACCAAACGGTCTCTTCTTGCCTTGCCAGCTGCTGCCAACATCGCGTACCGGCAACCCAGCCCAGAGCTCAAAGGTGAGGCTGAATCAGTGGTTAATATGTGACTAGGCACAGCGATCCCACGCCCTGCTTCACCTCCGCTGCACCATCTGTCTGTACGGATAACTGAGCAGCAATGTGCAGTCAGAGTGTTGTGTTCCCTTGCAAGGCACAAGCCCAGCAATACAAAAGGTCCAACTGAGGAATTCTTAACCCTAATTTGTAGTACACATACATACACACACACATATATATATATATATATATATATATATATATATATATATATATATATATATATATATATATATATATGTGTGTGTGTGTGTGTGTGTGTGTATAGAGAGAGAGAAAGAGAGAGACTTTGTTGCACTTGTTTTTCTTTTTTTTTTCCCTGCTGAATATTTTTCATCTGCACTAGACTGAAAAGGTGGTTAAAGGTCAGTGGAATGTAGAAAAGCCTGCACGCTGTTCTAGACATCATGTGGCATTTCACACATCGAAGGGATGGTTTTAATTGTACCGTCCAACAGTTCTGACACTGTTTCTACAGTCAGTTTGGACAAGACAAGACCTGTTTAATATAATTATCTGAACCACTGACCTGGGAGCTTAAATAGGAGCCTGAAGATTTACATCAACAGACTTTAGGACAATGATTTAACAATAACCAGGATGGAGAAGGGGCCTGTCATAGTCAGATGTTTCAGCATGTATGCTGTTAGAGAATTCAGCACAGTTTTATCTAAATATATTCCTGATTTGTCTCCCCTTTATTCCACATTGGAATATAAATTTGAATGAAATTAGATTTTATATGTAAATGTATATTACGCAGATTTAAACTTTTTAACCCAATTACAACCTACAGTTAAAATTATGCAAAAATAAAAAGGGATACCTATTCAGGTGGGAATCTGTACAAGGTGTTGATAGGCCATTTAGAGTTATTAATGAAGAGTTTAAAGACAATAATTAAATCTTTTGCTATTTTGTTCGTGACCTGAGACCTGACTTGGGAACAAAATTTAAAAGCACACAGTGTTTCCTGGTGTGTGTTTACTGACCTGCAGCACTGAGTGACCCGGTGGGCTGTTCTCTGGTAATTCCGCTTCGTAGTGACTCCTCTCGAATTTTGGCTGGTTGTCATTCTGGTCAGTCACAGTAACCCGCAGAAGAGCACTGCTTGCCCTCTGCGGGTTCCCACCATCCACAACTCGAATGTTCAGGTCATATGAGTCCTTCTTCTCCCGGTCCAGGTTGCCCATGACAACCAGCTGTGGCTGCTTCTCGTCTGTGTCCAGGGCGACCTGCAGACCAAAGAGCTGGTCAGCGTCCGGTCCCGTGCTTAGGGAGTACTCAGCCACGCCGTTGGATCCAGAGTCCCTGTCAGTGGCCATGGGGATGGCGAAGAGAGCACCGATTAGTGTGTTCTCTGGAATTGACAGGGTGAGGATGGGCGAGGAGAACTGTGGTGTGTTGTCGTTGATGTCCAGAACCTCAATGAGACCTTCGATCAGCCGTGGCCCCGAGCCGATCCCTTTTACCATATCAGTGATCGACATCTCAATCTCCAGGAAGCATTTATCTTCCTCAAACAAGTTGCAGTTTTCCAGCATCTCGCGGTCAATGGGGATATCAGTGGTATAGATGTTACCGGTTTTACCGTCCACTCTCAGGTACGGAGCACCAATCTCCAACTTGTAGAGGTGTCTGGTATCGGGAAGGCCCTTATCCTCCGCCAGGCTGCCGATCAGCGTGTTGGGCGGCTGCTCCTCATACACTTTATACAAGATGTCTGTGGGTCCTCCGCAGTGGGAAACCATCAGGATGGCTGCCATGAACGGCAGAACATCCCACCTCAGCACCGCCATGCCTCTGCCAGAAAAAAAAAAACGCTCTGAAAAGAGAAGAAAGAAGAACCGGGTTAGTGAGACGGCTCTGTCAGGCATTCTCAGAGCCATTCAGGAGCAGACTGTCAAAGTTGCCTCTGAAGTTGTGGTGAGATTTTGGGCATGAACTCATCAGCTCCGCTGCAGTGAGCAGAGAGCAGCCGGGCATCACCGAGTAATCACTTCCTCCTGCTGCCAGTCGGCTGCTCTGACAGGAAGACAAACTTAGAGCTGCTGCAGGCGACAAAAAATATGCAGCAACAGGGAGCGGGACTCCTGCAATGATGACTTAGAGGGTTCTTTAATGCTGAGAAGCACAAAAAATGCATAAAAAAGTATGACAGAGACGTGAACTCAGAGGAACAAGAATATGCTCCTTAAAAAAATAAAACTTTACTCAGCAAATCCAAGGGATCTATCAACTTAAAGGACATTTTAAGGCCTGTAGCATTAATAATTAAATCAATAAGAATCTGAATTTTAATTAAGGCACAAATATGAACAGAAGTTTGAGTGCAAACTGCAATGTAATCTTTTTTATGAAATGTATTTCTATTTATTGTAACTATTTCAAATGTTTCTTTTTTGTGAAAAATAAGGAATTGATGTCTGGTTGGACATTTAAGGAATCCATCTGTACTTTTGAAGTACAGATTAAAATAGATAAACTCACTAAAACCCTTGTGTCTTCACTCGTGTTACTCTCAGGGATGCTGCAATTCTGAGCACTTTCACATACTTTGTACAAACTTTTTCTCTCAAAATAATCCCAGCGATGTCACACGCACCTTGAGCCAATCAGTTTGATAACTGTGGTCAACAAAGGAAAAATTTGAGACAACTTTGGGAAACAGATTGAGATCATTTTTTACGACACCAGTTATTGTAAATCTCTCAGTCTATTGGCAACTCAATCATGACCTATGTGACCAGGCCATTTACTTTTTGTTTCATGTTTGCAGATTTTCTCACAATTTTACATTTTCAACAGTTGCACTAAATTACTTAGGACAGATTTCTGGGAATAAAATGACCCTACTTTTGGCCGGAACACACCTAATATTGACCTGCTGGTTTAACTGATCTACATTTCAAAGTGGGCATGTTATGCGAAACTTTCTGGTTCTCTGTTGTGCTTCAAAAGTAAATACAACAGTCCATCGAATTTCTGTCAGTTTGCTTTCAGGAATAATTTGCTTCTACAAGGTGTTAAATAATGCTCCTTATTGTGACATCACAATAAGGAAAATTGACATAGACCCACCCCCTCATCTGTCCACTGTTAGGGAGGTTTTTACATGGACGTGGAGGATTAGCTGCTCTACTCTGAGCCCCTCCCGAATATAAGAAACCCTAACCTCACTCACAGCAGCCAACTATGAGATGGGTGGGCGTGGCCAATTCCAGCTTGCGTTCTTAAAGTGACAGAGCCCTGAAATGCCTCATTCAGGAAGGTGATGGATAGGGTTGTCATGGTAACCAGTGTAGCAGTAAACCCCGGTAAAAAAGTTGACAATAATAATAACCGCCTTGTTTTTTAAAAACCGTATCATCTGCTGAAGTTGCCGGCGGCACATGCGCACATTGTTGTTTACAACCAAAACTTTCTTGAAGCTAAAGCTGAAATAATGGCCAAAGGAGGAGAAGGCAGTGCTCAGGACATTTATTATCCCTCAAAGAAGACAAAGTGGGAAGTACGGGCATTTTTTTGGATATTTGAAGAATGCCGAGGGATAGTTGATAGAAGACGGCTATCCTGTTTGCAGCACGTGCAGAAAAAGTGTCTGTGAAAGGCAGCAACGCTTCAAATCTCATGACACATCTGCGTGACCATCACCCACAACTCTACAGTCAACGCAAGGCAAGTTAATGTTAGCATTAAGCTAAAATGCGTAATCCGAGGATTTGGGTTGAGGGAGAATGCAACGAGTCGCTATATAAAGCAGCCGCAGCGCCGCTACCTGCATATAAACCGTGTCGCGGACACCCCATGTTGAAATGGCGCTATGCATTACGGGGCTCCCAGGGGCAGATAAGAGTTGGTCTCTCTCCGAGAATAATTATGAATTTAACAATGATTACTGCCTGATGACATTTCCCCACATCTGCAAAGCTCACTGGAAGGACACAAACCGAGGACAATATTTTCCTGATATAGGGTTTATTACTCAAGTATATTGATCTGATTAGAAGGCTACTTGAGTACTGAGTATCATCTGATCTAATATTTTTAAAATGATGACATCAAACAACCAAAAAATATGAAGTTATGTGCAAATATTGTATTTTAAAGACTAATGGGGAAAATTGTAAACAAATAAACAACATAATTACAAAATAACACATTTTAGGCTAAATTTAGACACAAACTGAGGACAATATTTTCCTGATATACAGGGTTTATTTAGCTGTCTGAAAATGTAACATGTAAATAAATAATACCGCAATTATACTGAAAACAGTGATAATTTTGGTCACAATAACCGTGAGGATACATTTTCACACCGTGACAACCCTAGTAATGAAACTGTCAACAATAAACCTGCTGAAATTTCTTTATGTGAGAAGAATTTTGAGCAAGGAATTTCATAAACATGTTTTAAATGGACCATAGACTTATTATAACTTGTTTTAAAAAACTGTAAAATACATTCCTTTTAATTCACAATTTGACAAACTACATGAATAGCAGCTTACTTTTCCTCTCAGCCAATTAAAGCTTTAAATTTCCTTTCAGGCTCTGAACTAATAAGGGTTTATTTACTGTAAATTTCAAACTCTAGTTGACCTCACAGGCTTTCTGAAAGAAACCAACTCTGCTGTTATATGCAAATATTTTTCCTGACAATCTGACTCTTCACCTGGTGTTCATAACGCTCCACCAGAGCCAGACTTTCTGGTACCAGCTATTTCTTCTGTCTCTACGTTCATATCTTTTTCTGGGCATAAATCATCGCAGACGCTCAAGAGCTTCAATCTGTCAGAGTTTCTCTGCTGGAGGTCACTTGGGTTAATCTTTTCAGATTCTTGATTTGGACTCAGAAACTTACTTGTTCATCAGGAAGCTTCTTTTAACCCTCTGAACACTGCAACTCTCATGCAAACGTGGTATGTTTGTGTGTGGGAGTGAAAACTCATGTTTCCTAAGCACGCCTACGGACTTGGATATGCGAGATTTGTATGAAGTCATTCTGAGACATGAAACAAATCCACACTGAGTTTCTGCTACAGCTCACAAACAGAAAACTGAAATAACAAACTAAACAAGGATGAAAGCTTTTCCTGGGAGAACAGGATGCATTACAACCGTCACAATATGAACATCAATTTACTGGACACATTTTAAAAACAAAATTTCCTGACTGTGTCTTGTTTTATTGACTATTTCAGCTCCTCCCACAATTGTTGCACATTTTCTCACTTTCTGATTGAAACTAAGCAGACTAGTTTGAGAGGAAATTGTCACAAACTTTCTTGAATTTGCTCAAAATTCCAGCAACACGAGATCGAGGCTTTAAGCTTTGAGGAGAAATTGAGAAACCTCAACAATGTTTTGAGGCATTTCCCGACTCTGATAGTAGCAGCGTCATGAGATGCTTTTCATTCATCCAAACATGAAAAAATAATGAAAATGTAATCATATGTCAGATGTTGTCACCTCCAGACTTGAACATATTGATCATATCATGAAGTTAAAACTCTTGTGTCTGATCCGTGTTGCTGCTATTCATCATTCTGAAGCTACACGTTTCCCCTGTCTTCAACAGAACCTCCTGATGTTCTTAAATCTGGGTGATTTGTGTTTTTATCAGACAGACGTGACATTTATGTGACGTGAAAAATGAGTCCCATTTGAGTTTTTCTTGGACTTAATTTGTCCCCGTTGACGTTTTCTGTCCTGCGGATGAACAATAATCTGTAACGATGCGTCGTTCAGCCATTGTTACAGACCATAAAAACACCCGCTCTGCTTTCAGCCGAGTACACACAACTGCGAGCTTCGTAAAGTTTGTATTTATCACATCATCATGTGTGTGTGACCGCACAAACTCATTTTGTTAGAACATATGTCCCTCATTGCCCGCTTTGCTCGGAGTTTACACTTGAAACAAGGACTTTATTTACTAGAACTGTGATACAGAAAGCTACAACCATCTTCCCTTTAGTGACTGATCTCCTTTTAAAGCAACGCAAAAGTCACATTTGGTACCGTTACCTGTTGCTCCCTTTCAGAACCGACCCATTTGTGTGATGTTTGTTCAGCTTTAAGATAAAACCTCAGCTGGGTCAAAGGTGGAGCAGCAGCTGGAGAAACAGGTTTTTGTTTGTAAATAAATGCTGATAAACATGAGTCCGGCTCGCCGCCGACACACAAACACCCGATTACCCTAAAGGACCATAAACGTGTGAAGGTGTGTGCTTGTTTTCTCACATTTTCTTCCCAAGCTGCCAAATACCTCTAACCACTGACCTCTGACCTTTGACCCTGCTGCATTTCAGGCATCACTGCGGAAACGGCACCGAAACAACTGGGTTTCTAGGCTGACTGCACAAATGTTTACAGCAACATGTTTCTGTTAACTTATTCAGGAGTCTGACTGATTTTTTTTCTTCAAAGATGCAATAAAAGTTTAAAATGACACATTATATTACAAGAAATGTGACACTTTCACATTTTCCTAGAGGATTTTTGTTCACCCGAGACCTGATGTTTTGCCAGCAGGTGAATATAAACAAGCAGCAGCAAAACACGAAGGAAGAAACAACCGGGATGATGTAGGTGATAATCCAGGGGCATAAAATCCAACTAGAATTACAGAAAGAGGAGATCTAAGACTTATGGATCACCTTTTTAGTGTAATTGGTTTTCCTCCTGAACAAACAGGGACATTGAATTGATCAATAATAGCAATTAACAGCTGATTACATCTGCAGACGAAACATCACCAACTGTTTCTCCCACTGACCCCGCCCCCACCCCCCATTAACAGCTGAAGACATGAAAACT